ACTACATCATATACTACCACGGATCTCAGTAATCCTATCCATGACTTCCCGTCCGTCTATACATTTCCTGTCCCACGGTGGTGTAACGTTCAGCTGCCGATGCATCAATCATGGAGAGAGACAGAAGACAATCTGCAAGCTATGTACTTTTTGACATCTGCACATCAAGTCCACGTGGACTGTCTTAACCAATCAGAGAAGATTAACCAACGATCACACCCTCTGATTGGCTGTCTCTATAGGCGGACAGGGGGACGTCTATTGCACCAAAAACCCAGGAAAGGCAGTCTCCAGGAAGTCTTTGGTCGGGTCACCGCATTCGGGAGTCGAAGTTTTCGGTCGCGAGTGATTCGCGAAGTGAAGTGTGTTATTTTAACCATGGCCTGTTGCCTTTAAAGGCAGATTAAAAATTATTTTGTGAAGTGTCCAGTGCATCAACCCATAAAGTATGTCAATTTTATAATTATTTAAACTAAAAATGTAAGTCCTGCTCGCTTAATCAGGGATAAATAATTTAAGGCTTTAGAAGTTAGATTTTCAAACTTTGATTAAATTCTATTCAATTTACTTCCTTAAATTTGAAGGTTAATTAATATTTTATTTTTTGTTTTACATTTTTAATTCATTTAAACTCCAATTACCAATTTATTTGTTAGGATAAAGTATAATTTACCTTATTAATTTGACTATTCACTGTGCTGGTTCATTTCCCCTTGTTTAACTGTATTCGATTTATATATTATCATTGTATTTTGTTTGATTGACTTTAGCTTCTCCTTTTTTTTAAATAAATTGTAAATTCATTTAGTAACTCTAGTTTTATTCACAGTCCCGGCCCTCACGTAATAGCCAAGCGAGTACATTAACTTATCTTCTATTTACTATTCATACAAATTAACAACAATGAGTTACAACATCGTCCCTTAATTTCTCCCAGCAACTGCGTTTACTCCGATTAATGGCCCGGCGAAGAGACTTCCTAGCCACCTTGTAAGCGTCAGACTTAAGACGTCTATCTTCAGGTTCTCTGGCCCTGGTAGCAAGACGTCTGGCTCTCAATGCTGCCCGTCGCAGTTCTGCGATCTCGGTTGTCCACCAGTACACAGGTCGCTTATCGCACCGGGATCTCCTGCGAGGCATTGACTCTTCGCAGGCCGAGACTATCAGCCTCATCAATGATGTAACTGATGTCTCTGCGTGAGCCACGCCAGATGCAGCAGGTACCACTGGCTCTCCCCGTAGTATGACTTCGGTGAATTTGGCCACGTCCAGCTTTTTGGTGTTCCACCGAACGGGCACCTGCCGAGACATGGTAGCTTGTCTCTGATGACTATCCAGGACATCAAAAATGATGTACTGGTGGTCACTTGCCGTATAATCCTCTAGGACTCTCCAGGCTTGTATCCTCGGCAAGAGGGACTCAGATGCAAGCGTGATGTCTGGGATCGTTCCCCTCATTCCGGGACGCTGGAAAGTTGGCGTGTTGCCCTCGTTTATGACAACAAGTCCAGCCCTGGCAGTAAAGTCCAAGTACTTCCCCCGGGAATTAGTGAGAGTCATTCCCCACTCAACAGCCCTAGCATTGAAATCCCCCGCCACGACAACGTGCCCGTCGGTATCGCGCACGCTCTCTTCCAGGCGGTCTATCTTTCCACGAAAGTCACGGATAGCCTCGTTGGGGGTGAGGTATACACTAAAGTAAGTGACATCCCCGCACCGGACCCAAACGAATCCTCGGCCTTTCGCATGACTCCTCACCTGCACTTTAGCTGTATTACGAACCCAGAACGCAGCAGTACCAAGTGTATCGGGAAACCAAAGAGATGGGTCCCTGTCCCGGTACTGGTACTGTTCGCTGACCAAGAGCGTGTCAACACCGTGTTCGAGGGCAAGCTGACTGAGAAGCGCGTCAGCTGTCTGGATCGATCTACATTGCACTGGAGGATCCTTATCTTCGTGGTTGGGCTTTCGCTTGTTGTAGTGCGCCTTTAAATGCACTGCACTGCTCAGACCCAGCTATATGTTTAGCGTTTTTATCATTGAGGCCTTTCTCCTTACAGAGGAAACAGGTCTCGACTTTACAGTCCCTACGAGTGTGACCCACCTCCCCGCATCGAAGGCAGTTCTTGCCTCAGTCGAGCCCTTCGCAGTTTCGGGAGGAATGGCCGAAATCAAGGCATTTAAAACACCTCGTTACTTCCACCCTCCATCTCAACCTGCAATTAACCCATCCAACCCTCAAATGCTGGAGTGCCAAAACCTTACTGGCGTTTGTGTCTGCCATTTCGGCAACCGCCATCCGCTGTTGACTCCGGTTTGGTTTCGTGAGCCACACCCTCAGACTAGCCGTTTGTCCGGCAAGCTCGAGGACAGCTTTTTTTAGGGCATCAATGACGTCATCCTCCGTTGACACACAATCCATATCCCGAACCTCGACGGACATCTTGGGTTCGAGAGCACGAACGGTGCCCTGACCTTCCACAGCTGCCTTTAGTTCGGCAGCAAAGGCGGCTTTATCTTTAGACTTACCCAGTTCGAAGAGGACATCCCTGTCCCGGGTTTGTCTAATCGACCGTACAACCGTGTCGGTTTGCTCTGGCTTAGCCTTGGCCTTGATAACACCCAAGACTTCGGCGAATGATCTTCCCTCCAAAGGCTTGACCAAAATTGCCTCAGTCCTGGGCTTTTTGGGCCGCGACTCTTTAGAAGCGAGTGCCGAGCCAGGCACAGCTTGGGCAACGCCGGTCGACTGCGCCCTCACTGCCACATATGTCTTGGAGCCGACTTCCGCGTGCCTCAATTCCCTCTTCTCCTTTTTCGTAAGGCGCTTTTCCCACACAGTCCCAGATGGTGTTTCTACGACTGACCCCTATAGGGAGCTACCCTCAATGGGTGTTGCAGGTTGCTGTGGCTGTTGAGGTTTCGCTGGAGCGGCAACTACGTCAGAGAAGGACCTAGAAGTCTGGGTCGCCTTGACCTTAACTTTAGGCTTTGCTGTCTGAACAATCTCTTCTCTTTTTGGAGGGCTTTCTGATGTAGGCCTCCTGCGTTTCTTGGAAGGTTGCGCATTGCCGTCAGGTAGGGACACCACCTTCTCGGCGATCCTTTCCATGGCTGACTTGCTCACCAGCCGGCAGGCGAAGACAAAACCAAGGTCGTCCTCGAGCTTAGCCATACCATTTTTAACCACTTGGTTAACTCCTCTATGCGTCTTAAAGGTTTCAAGCATTGCCTTTATGGTCTGCTCCATGTTTCGAAGCCGGTTTTCAATGTCATTTTCTGCATCAAGATATTGCTGACGCAGAAGTACCATTCCCGACACTTCCAAATCTAACGCTGCTGTTAGGGATTCCTCCGGCATCCCTTCACCAGACTTAGAGGGTGGTCCACCGTTTCCTTCTCCACTTGTCAAGGGAGATCCCAAAGTCAAGTCTTTTGTACACCTGAAAGTTGCAGATGGTGGGGACGTCTTCACGCCTTTCAATGTTGGCGATCTCTGGACCTTGGAGCTTCGCCCAAAAGGGTCTCGCTCTACTTCCGACTTCTTTTCTTGCTCATCCGAGCTACTTATCAAAGATGTGTTCAGGGTATTTGTTTTAAAAGCCATCTTGTGTTTACCAGCGCATCGTGCGGCAAGGGGCGGCCCGGAATAGTCAGGAACGGGTATACCCTCGGGGACAGCGCCCCTACCCCAGATCCCCGAGGCCCAACCTCCGTTTTCCCAGCACCGGATACCTGACGTGCCGGGGGTCACCCGTCACAATGTAGAGCCCGACCTCTACATCCATGCCGCACTCCCTGACCAAGGACCGAAGTGGCTGGCTTCTCACGACTCACTGAGAATTCCCATCGGCAGTGCAGAGCACACATCAACCCCTGCAAACACAACAGGGGCACTCCCAGGGACTCCCAGTGAGAGCGTCGGTCACCCTTTTAGTCGCCTCTTACGACAAGCCCGGGAAGGCTGCGGTTCTATTCTAACCCCGAAACCGCAGGGGGAAGGAACCTCGACATATTGGAAAAGGGGGTTAATGTATGGATAACTGATTTGAAGCGGTACGGGACTATAGTAGATAGAGGTTCCAATGATAGAGAATACATGGTGAAGTCTAATGGAAATTGTTTAAGAAGAAACAGGAGGTTTCTTATCCCGACATGTAAACAATCATATATCAACATGTATGATTCATGGGATCGTTACCCGGATGAAGGAACCCCTAATATTTGTCAAGAGAGAGAAGATAGCCTTAGCAACGGAAAAGAGAGCGAAAACACAGATACTTCTAATGGAAAGAAAGAAGAAAATAGAGTGGAATGGGAAAGAGGCAGAAAAGTTAATGGACGGTATTTCACTAGGACCGGAAGAGAAGTTAAACCTACATTGCGGTATCAGTTTTAACATTTTATCATGGGAGAGAGGATGTAATGGAATGACATGTGATTTAGTAATTATTTGTATGTTTACTCATATGACTATGGTTACCAGGGGTTACTATGTTGTTGACTTGTTTTGAAGTGAGTTGTTAAGTTAGTTGAATGTTGAATAAAAGTTCTTAGAAGAATTCGTTTTATTCTATCTTTACAGTTTCCAATAAAGTTCCCGGATTGGCTACACCCCATCACGCTACTATTCCCTCCACGCATCAACTGCCGATCCAAAAGTTTCCTTGCTCTCCAGTCCTCAAGATTCCAGCAAACTGTAAACATTTTGTCGGCCAGGTTTTATTTTATTCCCCTAATGGTGTTTTTATTTGAATTATTGCACCCTAAACTTTCAAGTTTCAGCACATGTCAAGAGCAGCTTTCAAGCTTTATTGTTGAGTTATCCCTAAGAAAGATGTTGGCCAAAATGGAAGCTTTGTTTAGTATTCTAATGTAACTGTTATACACAGTAAATACAACTAGTTTAAAAACATCAGAAGTAACTATTCACAAACTACTAAGTTGAATAAATCATTTCAGAATGTGGAAATGAAATGTGTAATGTCGCTTGTATATACCTTTCCCGCAGTGCTCTCCCGTCGCAGCTTGGTGGCTCTGAGTGCTGCACTCAACTGAGATGATTCCTCGGCCAACATCTGCACCTCCAGCTGTTCTACAAACACTGTCAACAGCTGGACACCAACCGGCAGACGGAACTGAGTGCTTACACTCGCTCCCGGCAACTGGGTCATGAACAACATGGTCAGAGGAAGCCAAGGCATATAAAGGAAGGTGTGTGCACGTACATCCCCCCCACTAACTACGGACATAGTGTGACGTAGTATGCTGGTCTTGCCAGCCGACCAACTATAAGCCAAAACCATAAACTGCCATACTTGTCCCACTGTACGTTGTTTTACTTTCTCCCCCTATACCATAGTATATGGAGAAAGTATTGTTTTCGTCAACAATTTTGAGTTTGAGTGGATATATCCGTTTTGGGTCTCCCTGGACCCAAAAAAGTAGTTTTATTACACCCGTGATCAGAATTTGATGAAATTTTGTATGTAGGTACTAATCCATGGTATCCCAGGAGTATATTTAATTTTTTAGAAATTTTGATTTTTAATGGTGATTTTCCTGTAAAAACCTAAAAAAATAACCTAAAATATAAAATAACGGAAAAGTTGGATTTTCTCAAAAATGGCTAGAACAATTTTGACAAAAATTTAGTATGTTGTAGCCTCTTAAATTCTGAACAAAATTGTATAATTCCCATTTCTGTAAAAAATATGGTTCAAAAGTTATTGTAAATTATTTTATTTTCCCATAAAAACAACCCAATAAAAAAAAATGAATTTTAGTATAAAAGCCGGTTTTAATCAAAATTAATGTGTTATGGTCCTTATGATTCTAAACAAAATAGTGCAATCTCCCATGGCTGTAACAATTACGGTTTAGAAGTTATTGCAACTTTTGTGATTTTTTCCTATAAAATATCATAGTTACTCCCATAGCTTACCCATGATAAAGGTTGTTGACAAGCTAATGTGAGAAAGTACGTGTCAGATTGCTGATACCGTTTTTTTTATGTTGTATATGTTACACATATAGGTATTTTAAACTTGATTATGATTTGGTAAACTAAAAACACGTTTAGCAAGCAGTTTGTGTGAGTGGCGCCGGTGTGGTGCGGCAGGGAGACACGCACGCGAGGTAGCAGTGCAAACTGGACGAATTTATTCCTCACGAAGCACACACCTTCCTTTATACCCCTTGAGAGGAAGCAGTTCACATATGACTATGATGTTACAGTAGGCCTACCGATTATTTGAAAATTTTTTTATCAGATTCAAAAATTTTAGCTACACATGGTTGGTAACTGGTACCGTTCACTTAATATATACCCATGCATTCCAAAATGTGTAAAAAATGTTAAAACGAATTCAAGACAGAGGAAATGTTAAGTAGGTAATAGATTACGGAAGCAATATATTCTAGCCTACAGTGGAATTTAAATTAAAATTTTAAAAAGTGAAATAAACCTAGATAACATTAATAATTCAGATATGTGTGAGCCTGAGATTTTCAATTGATTTTGGAAAAAGCTGATTGTAAATAAAATAACTTAACACCAACATTGAACTTCTTTACAGTAAATCAGTAAATTTTTGGGACTCACGATATAAGATAATTCGACACTTTGCACTCTGGCAAAAAAACTGTTGGTGTTGGTCCTTGCCAAAATTGCCGGTACCTACCTTATAAGATGGTACTAGCTGAAAACTTCAAGCTATTTAGTAACTTTTGTACGCATTTGATAGAACTTGTATGTCTGAACAGTTGGATGCGTAATTATTTTTCCCCTTTATTCTTTATGAAACCCAACACAAAGTTAATGTAAAAATAATCCAAGTTAGATGGACACAAAACTATTCTTCAAATATATATATATATATATATATATAAATAATATATATAGATATATATATAGATAAATTAAAAAATAGTGTAATTTAAAATTCCCATGTTATTCTTATGGAGAAAATGAAAATTGTTGTAGTTTACTTGATTATGGATATATATTGATAAAATTTGGCAAATTTATTTATTTCATCCTATACTATTGACGAATGGTCAAAAAACACTTTTTACCTTCCCCGTAGCAGCAAACCTAAGCACTCGTTAAATCTAATGTTATTTAAATAGGGAATAAATATGTCTTATGTATGGAAATATTTGAGTAAAAATATAATCCGACAAGTTGAAATTCGCTTAGTCTGCAGGTTTGCTGCGGCGGGGGTATTTTAAAGATGAAGCTGGTCTTTATGTTACTTACTTGTTGTATGTTAATTAATGTAAAACTGTTTAGGTTTTCAGAACCAAGTAGGGAATTTGAGAATACAAAGCATATATATAGCCTCAATGTTTATTTTATTTTATTATATTTTTTTTCTCTTTTTTTTCTTCGGTATATATATATATATATATATATATGTATATTTTTTACATATATGTAACACATATATGTACATATATGTAACTTATATGTTTATTTTATTTTATTATATTTTTTTCTCTTTTTTTTCTTCGGTATATATATATATATATATATATATATATGCCGAAGAAAAAAAAGAGAAAAAAAATATAATAAAATAAAATAAACATTGAGGCTATATATATGCTTTGTATCTCAAATTCCCTACTTGGTTCTGAAAACCTAAACAGTTTTACATTAATTAACATACAACAAGTAAGTAACATAAAGACCAGCTTCATCTTTAAAATACCCCCGCCGCAGCAAACCTGCAGACTAAGCGAATTTCAACTTGTCGGATTACATTTTTACTCAAATATTTCCATACATAAGACATATTTATTCCCTATTTAAATAACATTAGATTTAACGAGTGCTTAGGTTTGCTGCTACGGGGAAGGTAAAAAGTGTTTTTTGACCATTCGTCAATAGTATAGGATGAAATAAATAAATTTGCCAAATTTTATCAATATATATCCATAATCAAGTAAACTACAACAATTTTCATTTTCTCCATAAGAATAACATGGGAATTTTAAATTACACTATTTTTTAATTTTATACGTGACCGTTAGGCATACAACAGCGCTTCAATATACTAAATTATTTCTTTTTTTAAGCTCTACAAAATGGTTTAAAAGTAAATTGCTAATTTTTTTGTTTTTAGGGTCAAAAATGGGAAAACCCCTTTTTTACCCCATAAAACCCCCCATAAACCCCTGTTCCCATGGTCCGATTATGCTGGATCGCGAACTCGTTTGAATAAACGTAGGTTTACACGTTTGTACCAAATTTCATCAAAATCGGATCATTTTTGCTCGAGTTATCGCGCTAACGGACACATATATATATAGGGTGTCCCACGAAGGGGTTTAAACGTTTGATTTTATATTACGCGCCCATTCATGCACCGAACTTTTTGAAACTTTACACAGTTTACAAGGTAGGGTTTAAAAATATTCTGGAAAAATTTCAACTCCCAAACCTTAGAAGAAACAAAATGGCGGCATATTGAAAAAGTTACTTTAAAACATTAAAAAAGGTATTTTTGGTTTTATAAAATATTTTTTTGTTACTTTCCAGGGCAATATGACTTTAAAAAAAGAAAAAATTAGAACATAGCCAAATGGAAAACTAAAAATTAATCAAATAACTAATAAATAATAATAATAAATAAATAACTAATAATAAATCATGAAAGTAGTTTTTATAGAAAGCACATTGGTAAATTTGTCAATAAGCTGCCATTTTGTTTCTACTAAGGTTAGGGAGTTGAAATTTTTCCAGAATATTTTTAGAACCTACTTTGTAAACTGTGTAAAGTTTAAAAAGGTTTGGTGCATGAATGGGCACGTAATATAAAATCAAACGTTTAAACCCCTTCGTGGGATACCCGGTATATAAACTAGCAGAGTACCCGTCCTTCGTACGGGGTTGGCATATAAGTATAAATTGCTTATTGCAGTTATACTCAAGCTTTGCCTTTGCAATGGGGGGAGAACACAATTTGATACAATTTGCTTCTTTAAATTTACAGTTTACTATAGTATTACACATCTACCATAGCCACAATGTTCTACCAATTCACCCAAACAATAATGAGAACATTATAAAAAATTCGCAAAATATCACAAATGATTCTTGAAATTAAAAACATAAACATAACTGTAAACAATCCTACTTAGACTGTTCTCATTGCATATTACAGTTTTTTGCTGCTTAGTTAAAATCATCTGTTTTCATAAATGCAAACAAAATTAATAATAGTGCTACACTCTGTTGGTAAATGTTATAACTGTTTAATGCTTTTCATGTCATAGAACCAACTTTTTTAGTTGAAACAGCTGACTAAATTCTTTAATTCCCTTTAATATGAATACTAATAAGGATAACATGGGTAACTACAGAGCCACTGGGGCGGAGCCCAAAAGGATTTTTGAGATATGAATATGTCTATAGCTATGTTAATCGGAAATGTGAGCTATCATCGTGCCAAATTTCAGCCCAATCCGTCCAGTTAATGAGTGATTGAACTTCAAACAAACAAACACACAAACTTTCACATTTATAATATTAGTAAGATATATATATATATATATAAAATATACATATATATATATATATATATGAATTTGAACGGATGGTGTTTTTGGCCTCTAGGGACCTCAAAATGAAAAATTAAATCGGTCCCGGGTCCAGGTCCTACCATGAGTACTACGGTAATAGCTTATTCCCTACCTATATGGGGAATTCGCTAAAACTTTTACTCTCTCTGTTGCAGCAAACCTAAGTACTTGTTAAAGTAATCTATATATTAATTTGAAACTGTTTTTATTTGTCACAGCTATTTTGAGAGAATGGCTGGGCGTAGAAACTCGGTAGAGGTGTCTAAAGAAAGGTCTTGGTCTGTAGATGAGCCATCAAAAGAGAAACATGGTGAATCCCCTTGGGGCTCTGCCCCAGTGGCCTTTGAATTCCCATCCCATGTTATTCTTATGGAGGAAAACGGGGTTTTTGTCACAGCTAATTTGAGAGAACGGCTGGGCGTAGAAACTTGGTAGGGGTCTCTAAAGAAAGGTCTTGGTCTGTAGATGAGCCATCAAAAGAGGAACGAGGTCAATTCCCTTGGGGCTCCGCCCCAGAAGCCTTTAAAGTTGCCTCTTCAGATTTGTTTACATTACGACCATATGCATAATTCTACCC